TTCCCCGTAGTAGGACTATTTATGTGTGTTTGGACAAATATACCTTTGTATTTTTTGAAATGTCTTAATTAATAATAAAATCATAACAAATAATACAAAACGAAAAAAAACAATAAAAAAAGTAAACAAATGTGAAACAATTTATATTTATATATATATAAATTAATTTAAAAAAAAATAAAAAAAAAACTTTAAAAAAATGCCACCTCTGCCACCCCCAACACCACCACCTCCCATCACTAGTTGGAAATATGACAACATTTTTAGTAATGCCATAATAATGACATATTCAATGAGAATTTTAACATTATGATGAGTAATAATGCCATTTTATTGGCATTTTAAAAAAATGGCAGAATTTTCATCGATCGGAGGTGGTGGTGCGGGGAGGCGGTGGGAAGGGTATCCATATTTTTTCTAGGTTTTTACTACTTTTTTATTAATTTAAAAAAAAATAAAAAAAATATTCTTCATTTCTTATTATATAAATATTTTATTATTATTTTTTATCTTTTATCAATTTTTTAATATTTTTTACGATTTTTGAAAAATGTGTGGTTCAAGTTTGTGCAAAGGAAAGAGAAATGAACGAACAAAGCCATAAATTCATTGTTTCTAAACAAAGTGGTAAAGTTTTTGGGTCAAATAAAAAAGAAAAGTGGGCAAAATAATCCAGTCGGACAGAGGGAGTATTATATATATATATATATATATATATATATATATATATATATATATATATATATATATATATATATATATATATCCATAAATGTTTCAACAATGCAACAAAATGTGTTGCATTTTCACCAAGAAACAAAGTAGATCATTCAAAATTTGGAAACTCAAGTTAGCCAAATTTCGAATGTTGTGAGCCGCCTTGAGGTAAAAGACTCGGATAAACTTCCTTCCCAAATGGAACAAAATCCAAGACAACATATCAATGCGATCATGTTAAAGAAAACACTCGTCTACTCCTTTTATTTGTCGACAGCCCGATAAGTATCCCCCTTTTAAGGCTTCGAAACAAACATATGTTTGCTGAAACGCTTTAGGACATTCTTCAATTCAATCAACCTCTTTGTTTTTACAATAATGGTGCTCCTTGGATTAGACCTCAAGCATTTAGCAGCATATTTCCTAACTCTTCTGAATTGGTCTCTAAATGATGCATTCACTTTTCCTCAGTACCTTGGCAATGAATTAGTCTCAGTAATATTGATACTTATTTTCAACTCATTCCCAATATTATTTTGGAGCTCTACTTGTTTTATGCATGAATTTTATCATATTTTGTCCTCTTACTTATCTTCAAGCAATGTATGACTTATTACCAACTTCAACTTGAACTTTTGGTTGCATTTGTGTTTACCTATCCATGTCTTTAATTGAAAACATTTGTACTGACTCGACCATGAGGTAGTGCATTTGAATGGACAATTCGCACAACATGCTACTTGAATTCTATTAGGCACGCTCCTCATTCATCTAAGGTCCCTCTTATAATGAACTGTGTAGGTTATCAAAACAGAGTTGAACTCTGATCCTTTGCATCGTCCAACAACATTCCCAACTGACGTTTTTTGGATTCCGAACTTGGATTGTATGAAGGATGTTTCAAATTCTTCACTTTAGAATCCACCAGATTGTCCTCTTCGAATCAGAGTACAAACTAGGAGATCTTCATAATCATAATAGTGGTTGTGTTTACTCTCATTATCAATCTCGGACTCCAACACGTTCCCAACGATGTTCCTATTAACCTATTGTTTTTTAACCTCCTGTAATTTGCCATCATTCTCATCATTCATCTCTTCTGCATCCTCTACTGAAGTTTGATCATCATCAAATGACACCTCTTCTTCATGTGTTACATCTTTACATTTGACGCTGCCTCGATCATTCTCGTCTTCTCCCCTTTTCTCACTCTATTGTTGTGCCTTGTTCTCTACTTCTGCATCAATATCAACCCTCATTGTTGAATCATCTCCACCCACTTCTTGAGTTGAAGGCAACTTTAACTGCTCAACAAATTCGGCCTCATAAATTCCATGCTCCACAAATTCAGCCTCATAAATTCCATGCTCCACAAATTCAGCCTCATCTTCAACCACAACTACACTGTGGTTAAAGGTCATCTCAATCAGTTGGAGAGCAGTAGCATCATTCCATAACTGTCTTAACATATCTAAGCCATCATCATGTTACTTGAATGATATGATAATGATTCCACTTTTTGTACATATTTTCGGTTATATACTCCATCAAGTATGTATATGAAACTTATCCGAGTTTAAAATATCACTCTCAATCTCACCATTTACATATGTAATATTTGGCATTCTCTTGAAAGTAACGACATGGCGTATTTTCATTTCCCCTTCAAAAAACATTCTGAAAAAAAAGGAAATACATATTATATAGCGGACTATTTCATATTCAAATCGATCACCAATACATATACCAAACAACAAAAGATTTCCAAATGTACAAAGAAACTACAAAACTTCCACACACTTAACTCGCCTCAAACATATATATGTACTGGAAGAAACATGAGCAAATAATTAAATTGAATACAATAAATTAACTTACTTGCAAGAATTGTATTCGAAGCAGCAAGTCTCAGTCCAACAAGCGAAATGATAGAAACAGTTGTTGTCGTCCCCAGAACGACCGCTATTACGCGATCAGTACATGCAGCTCAGACCAACCAACGAAACGACCGAATTAAGCAGCTGTTGTCGTCCCTAAAAAGATTACTATTTCGCAGTCAATAGATGCAAATGTTTTCGCCCCCAATTGGGAATTTCAACTATGAGCAGATGGACAATACCCTATTCCAAATAGACGAAGATCCATTTTTTACTACAATGTTTAATTCATAAAACTAATAATCCATGTGGCGGCTGACGTGTAAAAAAAGCTAAGTGTGGCAAAACACGGGCCCACATAAGCGGTAATCTAGACTAAGAGGTCATTAACAGGTCATAAGCGGTTTTAGTATAGTACAAGCCCCTTATTTCACCCTTTTCCAGAGTATAAATTGTGACGTTTTTTCGATCCACAACCTTCATTTTAGTCATATACATCATCCGTTGTTTTTTAGTTGCAATGGTCCAATTTTCATGTTTTCCAACACAAGTTTGACCATTGATATATTTCATCCTTATTAGTAAAATAATTAAAAATTCATATTTAGAAAAATTAAAAATGAGAGAAATTAAATAATAATTTTGAAATTGTTAAATTATATGCATTAATAAATAAAATATAGTCAAAATTGAGTATGTGAATAGTGTAAAATTCACCAATATTACAACTAAAAAAAGAACGGAGACAGTACTCTGTATTCACAATATATAATTGCTCCTACTTAGTAAATAAAATTATTGTGTTCCCTAAAATTAATAGAGAACAATATTCCTTTTGCTATTATATTATAATAATAGATTTGGATGTAATACGCCAAATTCATACCAAAAACATTTTGACATGAGGTATTTAGTATGAAATTATTAATCAATTCTACTAAATTCATGTCAATCCTATAATTCTTTTTAGGTTTAAATATCTTTTTAGTCCTTGCAAATATAGCACACTTTGTTTTTTGTCCCTGCAAAATATTTTCTTTGTTTTTCAATTCATCCCCGAAATTTATGTTGCTTTTCTTTTTAGTCCATGACTAATGATAACAATCTTCATTTGACAACGAAACAATCCCGACTAATATGTATCCTTTAATTCTTTACCATGTCATTCAAAAGTATTTAATTTCATTTTGTAAACGGTTTTTAATACATCTTTTTAAAATGCGAATAGTCAGTTTTAATATTATTTTAACTCTCATATTAGCCACAAAAAAAACTACAAAATGAGAAACTTAAATGTTTGTAGTAGATTTATGCAACCGACAATAAAAAAATCTAAGTATAGTTGTTTAATTTCAAAGTTAGAGATGAACTAAAATCAAAATAACGCATATTACAGGGATGAAAAATAAAGAAAATATTTTACAGGGACTAAAACCATATTTAAACCTTCTTTTTCCGTGGTTTGAAATTCTAAAATGTTTAGATAATTTTCTTTTGCAATGCACGAATGCAAAGGTTTTATATACAATTCGTATTTGAGAGTGCTCCAAATGAATAGCTGAAAATAGAGGAGGAGAATGGCGTTGAAAAGGTCAACGGATTCTGTGTCTTATTATAAGCCAAATTTAGCGGTCTCCGACCTCTCCTTTCCCTTGTCATTTCTTCCGGTTTATCTCCACATTTCTTTCTTTTTTGTCCCATAATTATTGTACTCATTGCGCCCCTAAACTGTCTCTCCCCCTCACGCACGCGGCCTCACCTTGGTGGCGCATGGTAGTGGCCGCCGCCGCCGTGTTTCCACCTCCTCCTCGGCTGCCGCCTGTAACAACCCTAATTAAATAGTTTAATTTATTTCTATCCCATTGTTAATTGTATACAACAAAAGTTCCAAGGTAGGTATGAGAATACCATGGAAATTAGCCTTCTTCTCTTACCTGGCCGCCGTTTCTTTCTTTTCTCACCCATGCAAAGCACAAGATTATGACGATGAGAAGCCCGCGACACCGCCTCCCGAGCAGCAACGCTGCAACGGGATATACGTGAGTTACAACTTCCTAGGCCGCGAAAAGATATACCCATTGGTGACGAACACGTCGGCTCAGGCGTGGGCGTTCAAGGCCACCCTGACGGTCCTGAACGCCGGCGCCTACGAGCTGAAATCGTGGAAGGCTTTCGTGGGGTTCCAGTACAACGAGCTGTTGGTTTCCGTCGACGGGGCGGTTGTTGTGGCGGACGGAGACGGCAGTTTCCCTATCCAGGTGGGCAAGAACGGCACGGTGTTCTCCGGGTATCCGGTGTCGGACCTGAAGACGGCAATCGACACCGCCGGAGATCTGCCGCAGATGCAGTCGCAGGTGAATATAAAGGGTACGCAGTTTGGGTTGAGGGAGAAGGCGACGCCTTTGCCGAAGAACATCAAGCTCTTAAATGAAGGATACAAGTGCCCTTCACCTAAGCATTATTGTATGTTCAATTCACTCTCTATAAATACCTATCGCTTTTATTAGGGGAATAGGGGATATATTTTTATCCTATACAATATGAGTATATCCGATAATGAAAGTTCAAATTGTTCCATGAAGAAAATGATCGGTGAAGTTCTTGACCAAACATTATCCTTTTTTTTATTAGGCCTAAAAGATAAAAGATTTACAATTTTTTTTTGTTAGTTAAAGTGAAAAATAGTTTCCTAGAATCTCAACCACTAGATTAAACGATGTTGCGCCATCAAAACTTCATTTTTGTAAATAGATTTGAAATACCATAGTCTTTTTATGACACATAATATAACAAACTAATCAAGCATTTGAATGTTTAATACTCCGTATGATTGAATGAGACAAATATTTCACACAAAAGTACATGTTCGTGGGTGTGTATATGTGATCACTTGTATTATTTTAAAAAATAATTCGATTTTCAGTTTTATAATTGATTCTTTTTGAATAAAATTATAAATTTAGTTTTTAGCCTTTGAAACTAATGGACCAAACTGATGAACTTGGTATACATCGCCTTAAGGCAAGGTCATTACACGTAAAGTAACCTTATAGACAATTTAGATAGGAAATTAAATGTGTTTGGGTTTGCTACTACTCCTTTTTTAATGTAATTATATTAGAGGTTATAAGAACTGATTAATCAATGATAAAAATTTATAGTGCTTGGTAAAAATGATTTGAATAAAGTAAAACAGAGTGAAAAAAACTTAAGAGTTTGATGAAAGTGCTTATTTATGCAAGCCCAAAATGAAAATCATATAGAAGTTCTCTCAAGTGTTTGAGAACATCAATTTTAGTTTAGGTATTTTAAAGTAGAAAATGACAAACACTATTTAAATTATTACACATTTTAAAATTGTTGCACACTTTTTAATTAGGGTATATATGTACATTGGGGATGTTTATTAAGTAGTATTATTATTGTTGTTGTTATTAAATTATTATTATTATTATTATGAATTATTGATTGAGAAAAGTGTAATTTGGACGCAGCAAACCATATGAGCATGTGTTGCACAAGGGATCCAAAGTACAAAAACAAGAAGCTGAAGACGAAGTTCTTGCCCCGACAGAAGGGGGACCTCAGCTTTACGTACGACGTTCTGTCGGCGTACGAGAACAAGTACCTGGCCCAAGTCACAATTGAGAATAACAACCCATTGGGCCGCCTGGACCACTGGAACTTGACTTGGGAGTGGATGCGGAACGAGTTTATTAACACCATGCGAGGCGCCTTCCCCCACGTCAAGGACCCATCCGAGTGCATCTACGGCCCACAGGGCCAGTACTACATGGACATGGACTTCAGCACCGTACTCAACTGCCAGCCCAGGCCCGTCATCTCCGACCTGCCCCCTTCCTTCGCCCAAGACGAAAAGCTCGGGAAGCTGCCCGATTGCTGCCGGAACGGAACCTTGCTGCCCAAGACCATGAACCGGACCAAGTCCAAATCGGTCTTCCAGCTTGAGGTCTTCAAGATGCCGCCCGATTTGAACCGGACCGCCCTTAACCCGCCCCAGAACTGGAACATCGTGGGCCAGCTCAACCCCACTTACAAGTGCGGGGCCCCCATCAGAGTCGACCCGAGTGAGTTCCCCGACCCGATGGGGACCGCCATGACCACTACAGCCGTCGCGACCTGGCAGGTCACGTGTAACATCACGCGACCCAAGGCAAAGCACGCCAAGTGCTGCGTCTCATTCTCAGCCTACTACACGGACTCCGTGGTGCCGTGCAACACTTGCGCGTGCGGGTGCTCGGAGGAGAAGACGAGGCGGTGCAATCCTGATGCACCGCCTCTGCCGCTCCCCGCGGAGGCTCTGCTCGTGCCCTTCGCGAACCGCACTCAGAAGGCGTTGGCCTGGGCCGAAATCAAGCACCACAAGGTTCCCATGAAGCTCCCGTGCCCGGATAACTGCGGGGTCAGCATCAACTGGCACGTGGACTCGGATTACCGGACGGGGTGGACCGCCCGGATGACGCTGTTCAACTGGGGGGACGAGCCGTTCGCCGACTGGTTCACGGCCGTGCAGCTGAGAAAGACCGGGCGGGGGTTCGAAAATGTGTACTCCTTCAACGGGACGAGGTACCCTAGCCTGAACAACACCATCTTCATGCAGGGGCTGCCGGGGCTGAACTACCTGGTGGGAGAAGTGAACGGAACTCACCCGGCGACGGACCCGAGGGTGCCCGGAAAACAACAGACGGTGATCTCGTTCTTGAAGAAGGGCCTCAAAAACATCAACATTAAGAAAGGAGACGGGTTCCCCAGCAAGGTCATCTTCAACGGTGAAGAGTGTGCCCTGCCCACCCACATTCCCAAGAGATCCAGTGCGGCGGCCCGGCCCCGCATCTTCACACCCCTTTTTCTCGCTTTCTTGACTTCAATATTTGTTGCTCTTGTTTGCTGACTGGTTACACTCATGATGAAATATATGATAATTAATTTTCTGAACTTTTTCTTCCTTCCTTAGTTCCTTCAGTACGTAATCCATCGATCATATGCTAGCTTAGGTTCTTGTTTATATTTTCCAAAAGTCGAATTGGTTGAGAAGGAATATAAAAAGTATATACTCCGTATATTAGTTGCACTGGAGTGAAGAAATATTGATTATTGACAAGCCCTACTCAATTTAGATACACAAAATTCCTTAAATAGAAGTAAAAGTATAATAGATCTTTCAAATGAGAGTGTCATTATTTTTGTATTAACAATCATATTTTGGAAAGTTTTTATGATTTTATTCTTTTAATAGGAGTGAACAGGTGATAATATTTATAAAAAGAAAACATATTTATTTTTATTTGGAGTTTTTTCATCTTTTAATCCTATTTTGAGCAGTTTCTTTTTATAACTTACACCTATGATTGAAAAAACAAAAACATGTAATGCCGGTCCATTATCAATAAAATAAATTATTGAAAAAAATCCTTAAGTGGGACTAAAACATAAACAATTTGTTTTGAACAATTTTATAAGTAGGATTAAAATATAGACAAAGTGCACAAATAGAATCATTATTTTTTTTCGAGAATGACTCACTGTGTATATTTACTCCTAAATAAGGAAGTTTTATATTTCAGTCATATTTGAAGTAAGTTTTTAAATTAATTTTGTATCTAGATTTAATTTGATCGATCTTGTAAATAATAAATCTATTGTTATTAAGGGCTTTTAAACCGAAAAGTATACTTTCCAATAAAAACATGCCGCAAAAGATGATGCGGTTGTCTAATTTTCTTGCAAAAGTTCTTATTAGCTATAGAATAGCAAATGAAGTTACAAAGCTAAAAAAGAGCACAATCAAGTGTTAAATCTACAATTTTCTAAGTAATGTAATGCCAGATTGTTTTTAATTGGACCAATTTTTTTTAGTCTTGTTTGTAATATCAAAATTGTTTAAATATGATCTGATCTGAATTGATCTGATCTTGTATGATAGATGTATGTTTCATATGGATTTTGTTATTTTGAATCAGTTTAGCTAAAAAAAATATCATCTACTCTGCACCGCGCGAGAATGGAAAAATGAAGTCTAATTCCGACAAAGACAACCCTTGAAAAGGGCAGTGCAAAATTTGGACAGTGCAGAATTCTAACTTGGCTGAAATCATATTAATAAGTCACTTGATATATAATTTTCTAACTTGAAAAGGGCAGTGCAAAATTTCTAGAGAAAAGAGAGAAAGTTGATGAATGATCCTGGGCGATTTAAGTGTGCATGTGCTCTATATGTGGATGGTTCAAAAATTACACATTATTTGATGATGAATATCCCCCATCTATAAAAAAAAGTATGATCCTCTAAGCCTTAAACTCGTATTGGTAGAGTCTTCTAATTGAATTAACTTGGGAAAACTATCAAATAAGCCCCCCTACTATTAAAAAAAATCAATTCCGCCCCTCTACCAAAACTTCCTCCAATTAAGCCATCAAACTGATAAAAAACGGGCAATTCCTCCTTTTAGCCCGTAAACGACCGGTTCCCAGTTAAACATCGTACAATTTGTCTGACGTGGCAAATTTAAACGTGGGTGGCGGATGATGTGGACTATTATCTTTAAATCTAAAAATCTCTGAAGCAGCACCCTAATTGGAAGGTTGATGTACGCCGGTTGTTTGTCGTAGAACGGGAGCTGATGGTCTTGGTAGAAGCGACAATGTCATCTTCTTCAACATCAAGCATAAGAAGAATCAAGCTATCCACTCTTAACTATGAGCCCAGTTTGTATTGCCTTTGTGGACTGAAATCACCTCTTTGCACAGGCCGAGAAAGTGGACGAATGTTCTATGGATGTCAAAAATGGAAGGTATGTATAAATTCAATGTTGTTGCTAGTTTTGTATTTTGATTTATATTACAGCCTAGTTCCGGTGGTGTAAATTTTGTAGGAGGGGAAAGGATGTGGCTTCTTTGCTTGGAAGGATGTGGATTCAAAGCATGACATTCATAGCCACATGCCTAATTGGACTAGGGGAAGAGATGATGAAGTGCAGAGGAATCATTCAATGGGTGAAGACATGTATTTGGTTCAAAGAGTGCACCTACAAGCAGAGGCGAAGGAAAAAAAGTTTTTCAGAGTGTTCTATGCAGTTGGTTTAAGTTTATGCTTCGGTTTATTATGTTTGATTTATTTCAGTAAGCCATGTATCTGTTAGGCTTGTATTTTATTGTAGCTGGTTTATGTTTATGCCTAGGCTTCCATGTATGGTCTATTTTAGAGTGTATGAATTTGTCATGTTACAATTTCCTGTACCCAGTTGACTTGAATGTTGTTTCATGAAGTTTGTGTTTGTAGAACTTACTTTGGTGTTCGATTGAATTTTGCTGAAAGTGAATAAGTGATGCACTCATTTGTCCATTTGATAAAAGTAGTTTGTTTTACAAATTATAAAGATTGGTTTCTGTTGTGGTAATCTTGTCCAGAGGATCATCTTTTAAGCATTATAGCATTACTTACCACTTTAGACATTTCCTGGTCTATGAGATTAGCTTCATTGTAATAATGAGATGTATGGTAAAAATCAACTAGCCTCCTAATGGCTTCTGCTGTGGTAATCTTCTCCACAGGATCATCTTCTGTGTCAGACTGATAAGAAACTAAGTTTGATCAACAAGGGTTGAAGTTCTGATATGAAAATTATTGGCAAGTTAGCAAACTCGTTTGTGTCAATGGACCTTTTAGGACAATTGTGTAACCATACCATCCACATATAATTAATTCCAAGTATATTTTCCCAAAAAGAGAGCAGACCAGATGCTCTTATTTTCCATAAAAAAAATGAAAAAAGAGAGACAGTACACTTTCTCCCTCTTCCCCTCATTCTTCCTCTCCCCCTCGTTGTTCCTCTTCCTCTAGCCATCCCTACTCCATCTTCAACTCCACTAGGTGCAACAATATTTGATGCAGTTTCTCTCCCCCTCCCTCTTCTGTTTCCTCTTCCTCTACCTCTTGTACTTGGAGTAGGTGCAATGTTTTGTGGACAACGCAACCTGTTATGACCAGCTTCATTACATATTGTGCATGACATTACTCTACCCTTCCTTGACATATGAGTTGCCGAGGGAGGCTCACTTGCTTCACGCACTCTTTTCTTCTTTGGCCTTCCGCTCATTTTTTTTGGTAAAGGCCCTTGGATTTCCTCATGCTCTGTTGTCGGCCAGAACATTTCTCCATTAATAGGTTGTAGAGTATGAGAGTATGTTCTCTCATACATTTCCTTAGAATAGCACTTATCCACGAAGTCTTCTGGATTCTGGCCATGGTCTAAAATGGCACAAATTGCATGTGGACACGGTATACCTTAAACAACAATTAAAACAGTATTAATAGTCAACTTTCTGCCTGAAAGTATTAAAACAGTATGAAAACAGTATTAATAGTCAACTTTCTGGCCATCAAATGGATTACCTGAAACATCCCACTTTCTGCAACCATAAGATCTGCCTTCTAGCGTGACGGTGAATTGATGCCTTCCCTTCTTGATCTCATACCCGTCGTCTCCATTGAAATCAACATGCCACCCAGAGCTCGCACTGATATTCTTATTCAGCTTTTTCCTTATAATGGAACCAAAGTTTCCTGCCCATAACTCATTTATTAAACTGTGGGTTGACAAATAAAGGAAAAATACCACTCATTGGCATTCAAATAAACATACCTGTCCATTTTAGCAATGCCTTTTTTTCTTCGCAATTCTCTTCATCATTCCCACCCTTATATCCTCTAGCATTGGAATTAAGGGCTTGGATCAGCATCTTAATAGGGTACTATTGAACGCTTCAGAAGGATTATTATCGCACGCATCACACTTCACACCCACTCTAAAGAATGCCTTGCACCATAACTGGAGCGGGTATTTCTGCAAATCTATGGCAGCTTGAGAATCCACTTTCTCCATCTCTTTTATGCTTGCTTGGAGCTCTTGTTGTGATGTGGACTTTGCAACCTTCCAGAATAGTTTCTTAAGGATCAAGCCCCGGTGATTTTTGCTCCAATTGGCGTGTATATGCCTAGCACAATTCCTGTGCTCAATTCCACTCAATACCTGCTCTATAACACTGGATAGCCCCTACAAATACAAACAATGTTATGTAACACTTAATTATTAACCTACAAATGGTAAAGGGCTGAAATAGAAATGTATATAGTATAGGGACTTATTTCATATTCAGAAAACCTTATAATAAATAATATTAAAGTTCAAAGGAGGTGGCAAACCTTCTGCTGGTCACTGATAATAGTCCACAACTCTGGTCTTTCAATGTTTAGGTCTTGTTTGAGAAGATCTAAGAACCAGGTCCAAGAAGAGTTGTTCTCAATATCGACAACCGCCCAAGCAATTGGGTACATCTGGTTGTTGGCATCCCTACCTACGGCAGTCAATATTTCACCCTTTAGTTGACCTTTCAGAAAACAACCATCAACCCCAATAACCTTTTGACATCCCTCTAGAAACCCTCTTTTCACAGCTCCAAAGCAGACATATATCCTCTGAAAAACACATGGGGCTTCTGGAACAACTCTAACCGTTTTTATGACCACAGTACTTTCAGGAATGGACTTAATACATTCCTCAGCGTAATGCCTAATTCTCCTAAATTGGTCCTTAAAAGTAGAGTTTGTTTTCTCATGTATTCCCCTCACTGCCCTACTCACCATACTCACAGACACGTTAATCTTGAGTTCAACTTTTATTAGAGCTTTTAATTCAATAGAAGTCATGTTTGGATTAGCAAAAACTTTTTCTTCATAATGCTCTTCAATCCATTTCTGACTAACAATGCCTAATTTGAACTTATGATTGCATAAATGACGTTTTATGAAGACCTTCACTTGGAAACAGTGATACCTCTTATCCCAAGTACCAGTGCACCTAAAAGGACAATTTGTAGCACACTTGACACGCACTCTCTTTGGTTCATTCTTAGCAAAGCGGAGGTCTC